TTCTGTCTTTCCTGAAGCATTTTAGTTCCTGCTTATGTTCTACAGTTCTGGGAAATCTCTATTCATTGCAGAGTCTTACATTCTATGCTATGCCCTGACCCTGTTGACTAAAATTTGTACCTGACTTTAATCTGGGTACTGAGATAGTACAAAGTAACACATCCTGGTCAGCCTCCTGGGCTACCCTGGCTGTCTTCTGAACATGCAATGGAGGCCTGGTTTTAAGATTACTGTTAGTAACTAGAATCAAGCCTGCAGGGACATGAATTTCTTGAATCACTGAGCTTTCACAGAACAACTTCAACATGGTCCATAAAAGTTCCCTGGAGCTTTCTTACCAACATCTCTCTCAGCAGTTTAGTTGCTATTTCTGACAACAAGCTTGGTTTAGAAACTTGTCCTCTATGAATTTAAACTAATTTTATGTAACTGTACAAAACAATGTACAGAGTAACTGACTTTTACATTGTTCATCTTTTGTCATAAACTATTGAAGGTTAATTCTTAAGTCTGTCTTAAAAGAAGCAAAGACATGGGAAGGGAAAATACCATGGTGAATTTTCTCTACTGGAGTGGAGAACCATCCAACTTGAAACTGGAATAGTCATAGTTCAGCTGTGGAATAGGGCAAAGAACTCTTGGGAACAAGGTACAATCTCAACTTTAGCAGGGGCAAATGTAGGGGAGTGTTCTCACAATGGGATATCCTGGAACAAACTGAACAGGGGCCATCAGAACATAAGTGGCCCACCGTGGGATCACTGTGCTCACTGGAATACTCAGCAAGTGGACACTGATTCTTCTGGATTGAAGTTCCTTGGGGCCTCCTTGAATATATCAGCCTAGGCACTTCTGAGCATTAAAGTATAGGGATGACTGAAGCCAAGAGGTGGTCTTAACTCATGGAATAGCTCTTCGAAGAACTTAAGGGAAGGAGGTTTCCCTGTAGGATGGAGGTCGCCACCTCCTTGACAAGGTATTCCAAAGGTGATTCTAGTCAGCTGGAATACCACTGTACACTATCCTGTAGCAAAGTGTGGCATCAATTTTAGAATCCAAATACTTTAGATTTGATAAACCTGAGGATTTTTAACTCAGTTGATAGTTTCATCCCAGCAAATATTCCAAATAGGACTAAGTCAAAACACAATTTCATGAATCCAAGATGAATTACTGATACAGAAAACAATGTTAAGGGACAGATCTCAGAACAGAAGATAGTTACATGACTGCAAACTTGGACAGATCTGACTGAATCTATGCTGGCTCTGAAGGCTTGGGAGCCAGCTGACTCAGACTTAGCTTGGAGGATAGAACTTGAAAATACATCTTTGACTTTGTAAACATAAGCTTTTTTGTCAGAAAAGTAAGCAAGATGACCACCTGTACTTTCGTGTTGTTAGTCTACTTGTATACTGTGTTGAACCTGTAACCTGCTCTATTGATCTACCCTTGTGTTAAAACATGAAGCCAGAGACTGTGCCTCGAATGTATATTGCAAAGAGAATCATTGCTACCAAACGGATAAAGGATTAGGTAGTGGAGTCAGATTGGTTAGCAACCACAGAAGTTTTGATACCTGCCTCTTTATATACTTTCTGATAGTTGAAAGAAGGAATTCCTTTCATTGAACCATAATACTTTTGAAGACCTTAGACACATTTTTTTACTTCCCTATCTTGGGAAGTAAAATCTCAATCCTGTGCACTAAAATAGTAGCAGTGTTAAAACTCAGGATTGGTGTAAGATCCTGTGTAAGATAGGCATAAACCCAGTAGACATGTGGCCATAGATAATGATGGACTCACCTGTGCAGCTTGGAAGGCCTATGAATGACTATTGAAATTCCTGGCAAGATAGTTTAAGCAAAAGAGGTGTACCACTTAGGCTCAGTGAAAGATGTACAAAGGTCAACTCAATTCAATTGGCCCACTTCAACTTCAGTAGTATAAATTACCAAACTGCTTTTTAGAGGTTATAGTACCTAACAGTCACTTCACCCACCTCACCCACCTTAATCTCTCCTAAATGGAGGTGGTGGGGTTGGAAAAACAGGCAAAACTCTAAAGCATGTTCTGTGGCAAGTTAGCCCTACTGAAACATACTAGGAGAGATGGCTTTGCAATTCTCTTGCTCTCAGGTGCTTACACTAGCTTTAACCTGTAGTTTCACTGTAGCAGTATGTTTTTTGTGATGGAGCCTCTCTATTGCCCAGGCTGGAGCACAGTAGCATGATCACTCTCTGCAGCCTTAAATTCCTGGGCCGCAATAATCCTCCCACCTCGGTCTCTCAAGTAGCTGGAACTACAGGTGCATGCCACCACACCTAGCTTCCCTGTAACAATCTCTCAACCACATGCTTTATAGCAGTGTGAGAACAGACTAATCAAGTACCTGGAACTGGGTAATTCATAGAAGTTTGACTCAGTTCTGCAGACCGTTCTGTAAAGGAGGTTCTGTTAGAAGTATAGTGGCTTCTGCTTCTGGGGATGCCTCAGGAAGCTTTCAATCATTGCAGAAGGTAAAGTTGGAGCAGACCTTACATGGTTTGAGCAGGAACGAGAGAGACTGACAAGGTGTGCTGGACACATTTAGAGGACCAGATCTTATGAGAACTCTATCACAAGGATGGTACAAGGAGGATGGTGCTAAACTATTCATGAGAAACTTCCCCCGTGATCCAATCACTTTCTGCTAGGTTCTACCTTCATTAGGGATTACAGTGGGACATATAGATAAGTCCTCTTATCTATAGTTTCAGCACAAGACTTAATGGAACACTGAATTATGAGGTAAATTGAGCCTTATTAGAAAAAAGGAAAGTTCTAATTTCAGGAGCTCTTGTGAAACTGATCACAAGACCTAGGGCATTTGTGAGAAGTCCAGAAAATCACTTGGGTAATTCTGGGGCTTCTGGAGAGAGCTGCCATAGGCAGGTGGCCTTTTGTCTAATCTTGTCCACATGGGTTTTGACTTCAGCTGAGGCATTGTATGTGCACGAGTTGTATTAGCTGTTGCAGAGTCCACCCTATCCTGCCAAGACAGGAGCAATCTTGCCTAACACAACCCAAGCCAATACATTAAGTTCTTTCTGTGGCTACTGCAGATGTAGTTTTATCAGCAAGAATTCCTCAGGGGGAGAGGTTTCTTGTCACATGTTCATGGAACACTACTCCATACCAGAGTAACATTCTACCCAAAGAAGTACTCGGCTCCATCTTTGCACCCAGGCAAGTTCTGGCTTATGCATCTCCAAAACTAGTGTGAGGAACCTTTTACTTCTAACAAATTTCAGAGCTAGTTTGGTGCTTAGTCTCAGCATATATAGAAAGAAAACTGGCCGGATAGGCAAGTTCTTCATACATACCAGCTATCAATGCATTTGTAAGCCAGGGAGAAGGGGGTTCCCTAGAACTCTAGCAAACAATAGGCATACCAGAAGCACCCAGGATCCTGGACAAGTTGTATAGGTTAAGCCTGGAATCTTAAGCAGGGATTTGGGGATTGGACTAAATCAAGGTTCTATAGCTAGTAAGTTTATTACCAAGCACTCCTTGATAGGAAGGAACTAATGAATTTGCCAAGACCCAAGGTAAGAGTTCAGAGGTATGACTGAGTGGGACTTTAGGGGATGATACAGACAAGAATACAGGCTACTAATATTCCTGTCAAGCTGATAGTCAGCTAAACAGTGGGGAAAAGTATAAGCATTTCCTTGGCAAAATTGATCAAGGTAGTTCTGAGAAATGGGTGTATAATGACAGCCTCCTTTCATATACGATTTAAGTGGGTAGGAAAACAGCTGGGTAGTGATATCAACAGGCTTAGAACAGTTAATAACTTCAGGGTATAGAGAAAATCAACTCTTCAATAAAGGAGTTTTAGAAGCAATTGAAGGCAAAATCTTGGGTGGCTGTCTTTACTAGAAAGGTAATTTGTTGGTCTTTTATCACTGACAAAGTTGGGAATGGCCATGAAATTACTGGCATGACTTTCTCCTCCAAATCTCATGAAACAGTGTTTTAGTGCCAGCACATTAACAGCTTTCAAAAGCACATCTCTCAAGTTGGAGCCTGGAGTGAAGGGAAGCAGTGATGACGGAACAACACATGTCTGACCAGGTCGTTGCAAACTCTGCCCAGAGCCAGGAAAAGTGGCTGAAACTCAATCCTTAAAACTCTTATGCACCTCTCTGGAACTGAAGTGTGGGGCCTACCTGGGTGGAGCACACTACCATTGCCATCATCGGGACTGACACCTTTGAGACTATACCAAAATGGAGTCTTTGTAAAGGCTTTTCACCTAACAGTTAGGTTAAGGACCTCTAGTATTGGAATCAGATGCCTAGACCCGCCCCAAATTTCCAACATCAAAACCTTGTTGGCAGAGCCCAGAAAATTTGCATTTTAACAATCTCACATAGCTAGGTGACTAAGCACAGCACCCAGCCTAGATTCTTCACATAAGGGCATAAAGAGGATCCAGCATGATGGATCTTGGGCTCTTCAGGAAAGCAGCTGGCAGGCTGAGGACCCTAGGCACCTCATGGACATGCAATTCTTAGGTCACTGCACCTTGTTCCTGCCACACACACCAAGCTGGAATGAGTGGGGACAGAAGTAGGGTGCTGCCATCAGACAGACTTGAGCTCCACATCTAGCCCTGAATGTAGCTCTGAGTTCTGGCCATAATTGTGCATTTTTGAATTTCCGTTTACTATTAAAATGGATCATAATACCTTTTTCCAAGAGTTTTGTGAGGATTGAGACAATGCATAGCAAGCCCTTACTACAGTGCCTGGTACAAAGAAAGCACCAATGGATGTTACTTGATACTAACATCTCAACAGAATGTGACCTCCCAGAGGATAGGCAGCAAGCCAGACCTGGTCCACAGAGAGCACTGTTGGTGTTTGTGGAACTGAAGAAAGCTGTTAATGTGCTGGCACTAAAACACTGTTTCATGAGTTTGTCGTGCAGCTGGTGTGCCTCAGATCCAGGCTAGAGAGCATGTGCCTGGGCCGGTTGCTGCACACCAGTGATGTGTGGAGTTGGGCTCTGTAGCCCCTCTGCATGGCTGCCCTTGAAAGCATTCTGAATGCAGTACCATGGGTTCCAAAGTGCCGAGAGGATCCCCTTGTACTCCCTGTGGAAGTTCTGATTCAGGAGCCCATAGACAATGGCAGTCAGGCAGCTGTTGAAATAAGCCAGTAAGTGGCTAGTGACAAATAGCCCCTCAGGGATCTGGGGAGCCATTTAGTGAGGGTTGATGGCCACAGTGAGCCCGATGCAGTTAAGTGGGGCCCAGCAGAAGGCAAAGATCACAAACACCACAAACATGGTTAGAAAGCTCCGCAAGTCGCTGGGCCTCAGGCACAGCCTGCTCTCTGGCTTGGCTTTCCTGCATGCCTGGAGCACCAGTATCCAGATGCACAGGAAGCAGGAGGACATGACAGCGATGGGGAGGAGGAAGTGGATGACCACCACTGCTGCAGAGTACCTGGTGCTGGCCGTCTGGAAGAAGGGGCAGGAGTAGATGCGTGGGTCATACTCCAGGGACCCCACAAAGAAGTTGGGCAGCAAGGTGACCACAGTGAGAAGCCAGATGAGGCAGATGTGTAGAGGAGTGTGCCAGTGCCAGTAGATTCAGTGGTAGGCCACACTGGCATATGTAGCAGTAGCAGTTAATGGTGATGGCGGTGATGTTGAAGACGGAGCCGGTGACGCTGAGGCCCATCACAAAGGTGCTGGCCTTGCAGTGCTCCTCCCCCATGGCCCAGTCATCATAGAAGATGGCCACGAGGATTAGCGGGTTAGGGGTACAAGGCCACCACCAGTCAGCCAACGCCAGACTCACAAAGAACAAATTACCTGAAGCAGCAGACAGCGCAACAGTCAACACGAGACCCCACAACTTCAGTTCCATAAAACATCCAACCCACCACAGAGTTACTTTGGCAACACAAGTGGAAACCAAGGCCACTCACTAGCCATATGACTGAAGCAAGCTACTTAGGCTTTGAGCCCCATTTTCCTCTTCTGTGAACTGGGGGCAGTGATACCCACCTCGCAGTATAGCTGTCAGAGCTAATGATGCAAAGTGCTGGGGGATTTAACAGGTGCTCACACATGCAGCTTCTATGAGACAGATGCTCAGGGGCTTTGCATCATTTAAGCCCCAACAAATCTATCAAAGAAGGAAAGTCTGAAGTTAGGAATGTGGATTTCTCATCACCACAACCCCTCCCTCTCATTTCCTTACCTCCCTGCACATCTCTCTGCCAGTCTCCTTTTGCATTTTCTCCACATGGGTTAACAGAACATCAAGTGTTTTTAAGTGGGTTTTCTAAATGTGAATTGTGCTTTGTCACTGGACTAGAAGAAAGGCGTCAAGAGTGGGAACCACATGTTCCTGGTATTCCCCTTTGTGCCCTGTCTGGGGCCAGTACTTCCAGCCTTGTGGCCATGTTGACAGTTGGAGTAGTGGGACAGAGCCCCAGCCCTGTTGGGTGAGGAGGGGCTGTCAGAATTCCTAAGCTCACAGCCTCTGAGGGGCCTCCCTGCTTGCCTGCACAGTCGCGGCCTTCCTGGACTGTCTAGGCATTTATCCTTTGAATGAAGCTTATCCAGCATCACCAAGTTCAGCCAACCAGAGAGCAGGAAACCATACAGCCATCAATTAATATGCTTCAGGCATGTTCTAAGCTGGAGTCTTAAGGTGGAAGCAGGGCTTACTCTGAAGGAACACAATCTACTTTCCTCAAGTGTTTGCATTCTAAAAGTAAGTGACCCATGAGTAGAGCACCGAGAACCTAAGTTTAGGCAATACAAAGCTCAGTGTGAGCAGCTCCATCACCAATGCCAGTTGTTTCATTCACTAAGTGTTAAACTCTCTGAATACCTACTGTACACTCAAAAGAACAGACCCGCCTTCCATCAGGGGCCCTCAGTGATGCAGCATGCACTGGGCATGATATTTTAAATCTTGCAGTCTCTTGCCACATGGTGAAGCCTCCAGCCTGTGGGTGGCTAAATGCAGTGGTTGGGATGGATGTGCAGGAGGAACTGGCAAGTCAGCAAGAACAGACATGGAAACTCCACTGCCGCTGTGTGTCTGTCCCATTGCCACAGAGGCTGGTGTGATGGCCTTGGGGGTCCAGAGGGCCAGGCAGATGGAAGATGGGAAGAATCCTCCAAAGCACAGCTATTGGAGAGGCTATGGATGGATTCCAGGAGATACAGAAAGAGGCTGAGAGCCACCCAGCTAGTTCATCTGAGTCAGCCCTTCAAGTGAAGTAGATGCCACACCTGGACTTAACCCACAAAAGTAGGGAGAGGGTTGCCTACAGCCTTTCCACATTCCCCTGGTGTCAGATTCCCCATGGCATGCTCCGTGTAGGGATAGGAACCTGAAAGACCCTCTGGCAGCCTTCATGAAGGGCCTATTTTGGCTTCAGGGGAATGGGGTCAACCCCATTCAGAATCCACACAAGTCTACTGGAGTCCTGGGAGTTCTCAAAACCTAATTATAATACTGTGTCCACAGCTAGGTTAGGGAACTAGGGAGACAGGATGTAACCAGATAAAAAGGAGATTGTCTGGACAATTAGCGTGCCTGTGAGGTAGTGAGCTTCCCTGTCTCAGGATCGTCTAGCAGGTTAGATGGCGAAGGAGAATCGTGACTCACTTGAACTGCTGGAAACCTACCTACTCTAATATTTATAGATTTATTTACTTCAGGGGTTAAAAATGGCCTCATATTCTTTCTAGTTGGTACAGCAAGGCAAATAATGTGCAACAAGGACCTGCTTGGGATGTGGAGGGTTTCCTGCCTTTCAATTTAATTCTCAGCCTGCTGGCGGTCTCCACTGCTGGATCTCCATCTCTGACTCACCTACACAAACCTCACTTAGTTCCAAGAACATGAGGGATTTCCTCTGTCAACTTGGCTTTAGCTGAATCAGGAGACCTTGTCTGAGAATTACAAGTGTCCTTTTGAAATCTGGAGGGTAATGCTGAAGTCAGAACAATCTGGGATAATCTGAGTCTTAACACTTTCTGGCCAAGTGAATTTGGGTGAGTTTCCGAGCTCCTTTTTGGTGACTATTTGTTCATGGGCTCCCTTTTGGAGCCCTGCCACCTTCTCAGCCCTGCACACCCACATGGTTGGTTCTGTGAAGAGTCATTTCTCTCCAGCACAGGATGATGGGTCTCAGCAGGACCTGCTGGGCACCTGGCCCAGCAACATACAAGCTCTTGGCACTTGGAAGCTGAGCAGAGAAAGTCAAGAGCTGCCTGGAGCCGGTGCCAGCTCTGCCAGCTGTTTTCCTGGGAAGGCAGAGTCAAGTGCTGCTGTGTTAGTGTGGCTTATCCCCTAATAATGCCCCAGAGGCTGGCAAACAGCTTGTAAATAGTGAGAAGAACACATTCAACTTCACGCGGAAAGTGATTCAATTACTCTTCCCTATTACTCTGACTGTTTCTAAAAGGCTGAAATCAACCACTTCCTGCTGTAGATTCATCTGCCCAGACATCTCACTGTCTCCAGGCTTTCTTGGCACACTTCCAAATTAGGTGAATAAAATTCGTGTTTTATCTTCCATCTGTAAGGAGCCAGGTCTAACGTGGATGATAGTCAAGGGGGCATCCAATTCTCCATTTCTTCCCCAGACAGGTGAGAAATCACTGAGAATGCACATAACACTGCAGTCACCCTGTGTATTAATGTATATTTATGTCACAAGTCCTAGCGTGACTCATTTCCATCTGCTTCCAGCAGATAGAGTGTATTAGTGGAGAGAGGCTTTGACAACATGGCTTTGTTCACTAACACGGAATCCCCTTCCAGGATTCATACACAAAGCGCATCCTTTCACAGACACGACCGTCACTGTCCCACGCTCTTCTCTTCCTCTTTCTGAAAAACTTATTACTTAATGGAGATCTGGTAATCTAGGCAAGATTCAGCCAGTGCTGAGCTATCTAGTATTCGTCAGGAGAATGCTGGAAGATTAAAGCTGCCTGTATTGCTTGTCCCTCTTCTGTGTTCTCATCCTCGGTGCTAAGAAAAATTTGGTTAGATATACTCCTTAATCGTTGAGCTAAAGATAGAATCATCGAGTCATTTGTGTGACAAATTTGGCTGAGTATATACTAGGTTCTGCATGTCTCTGCCAGATGTAAGGGGAGACATGCTGCCTCCCCTTACAGAGTTCATGATCTCTTAGAGAAGACAAACAATGGTGCGAAGAGGGTTATTTTGGGGAAGTCAACAAATGATCTGTCTTTTCTAACAGGGCTAAACTTCCTCTGCCTCGAGGTCTTACTCCACTCTTTGATCTGTTCAAATGTGCAGTGTTTGAGTGCCTACCACATCCAAGTAGGACACACTGAGAGAAGAAAAACATGGCCCCTGCCATTAAAATGCCCATGGACCTGTGGGGGAAATAGCAGAGAAACAATAGCTGTTCAATGTGGTGAGAGCTAGAAGAAAGGCCAGAACAAGGTGGTGGGAGCAGTGGGGAATCTGAGTCGGCTTGGGACTGGGGCAGTGGCAGGATATGAGGCTGGTAAGGCAGGACAATTCACCAATGGGCCAGACAACTACCAAGGTTTTTGCGACAGGACTCCTCTCTCCCAGAATGGCTGTTTACCTCAAAAGAGGTACTGGATGGGAAACATGAGAAATAATCCCCAAACTAATGATATATTCTTATGTTCTGGGGAATGGGCATTTGAAATAATTGAACATACAATTCACAACTTGGTTTTGAAACCAGCACTAAATGTATTTAGTGTAAGCTCATAATTAGATTCCCAAATCTCTTGAGAGCAGACACTTTCCTGCAAGGTCACATATTGATGAAAATCTTAGAATGCGTGGACGAATCATACAGGAGCTAAGTTGAAATCTAACTTTGATCTAATGAAACAAAATGACCAAACAACAGTGTGCACAGATACATATGGGGGTATTTCAACCACTTAAAAGAAAATATATTAAAGAACATAAGCATCTGTTTAAAATAACTAAGATGCTATTACAAAACATTCTTCGATAACCATCAAAAGATCATTTTGAAATTCTGATGGGAAACATTTTATTACACTTAAAAGCAACAAAACAATTGATAGAACGTCTTACAGTTGATAGTGTTTTACATAAATGGACTCTTGTTTTTCGCAAGAATTCCTTCAGGTTTATAGCATGATTTCTGTTTTATAAAGCAGACACCCAGTTTGCGGGAATTGCCCATAGCCATAACACAGAAAGACAAAGAACAAGAGAAGAAAAGAGAAGAAACATCAAAGGAATTAAGAGAAAGGGTGTAGAGTTGCCTGATCATCTACAAAAGTGAGAAAGGGTAGAAAAGTGCTTATTGGAACTGGCAGTTAGGAAGTCAGCAGTGACATCAGCAGTAATATTACTATTTCCTGACTAATCTCCAATTTTGCCCTGGAGATTGCTCTATCAGTTTTCATCTTCAAGAGGAGGAGACAGAGTGGCCCTTAAGAAGAAATATCCCTTTGATAGGGGATTGTGGAGGGCTTTTTTTCCCCTTAAAGACTAGAATATGGCATATAATAGGCACCTAGTAACATTAGCTATTTCATATTACCTGTATTGACATATCAAGAAAGAGGCTCAATGTTTGTCTGCGATCTCTGAGATGAGGTGTGAGAAGTGGGGAGATGAAGATGAAGAAAGATATTTCCTCTAGATGGCAGACTCCCTAAGACCTGGGACTTCACTTTCCAATTTGTCCTCGACTTCTCCAGCAGTGAGTATTGTCAATTGTAAGACCCAATAGGAGCTTTCAGTATTGTTTTTCAGTACATTTTATCCAAATGCAAAATCTAGCTTTCTGGAG